TGTTCATATTGTGAAACATAGGTTATTATAGACATACATTAAACACTTTTAACCAAAGATAGTTTCAATTTTTTGGGATTTTTGTAGGTTTTCGTCAATGTTTTTGCCTTTGCAAAATATTTTTTTTCAAGTCAAAATCATAGTTTACTTTTGTGTGGAGTGGTTCCTTCGAGAAGGATCATATCCACTGGCTAGTGAATTGAGAGTTGTGAATATTCTAATTTTTTATATGTATTACGTTAACAATCCACAATTAACAATAGAACTGAACTATAAAAAATTGTAGACTCTGTTAGAGTTCAGTAGTAACGATTACCCGGCAATAAGTCTATGAGCGTCAAATCAGGTTAGCTACATGGTCTATCATTTGAACTATGGCGACCGTTCTACCTCTTGAAAGTATCAACCTAGACGAAACGAAACGAAATTGTTGAAATATTGAGTTGCATCCACACTCGAAGTACCTCCTCCAAAGTCATTGTTTGTAATATATCCCTGGTTGCAAGTTCCTCTGTAGAAATCTTTTCATAAATAGCAATTACTTTTTTCTCAAACAGCGGAAAAATGGGAATTAAAACTTCAAATTTCTAACACACCAGACTTCTTTATACCAGCTTCGTTACAAAACTGATCTGTTTTTTTCTTTGTTGCAGGCTGAATCTGAAGTCGCTGCCCTCAACCGTCGTATCCAACTTTTGGAAGAAGACTTGGAACGTTCCGAAGAACGTTTAGCCACAGCCACTGCCAAACTGGCCGAAGCTTCTCAAGCTGCTGACGAAAGCGAAAGGTTTGTCGACGATAGAATTTGGAGAGAAATTAGTTCCTGTCTTGTTTTTTGTCACTCGCAACACTAATATTTATAGTTGGTGGTGTAACGATACTGAACTTGCTCTCTAGTCTAGAAAAATAGTGTGCAGGGTCAGCGTAATCGGTAATTTACTAGTTCCGTTGCTCATTACCCGTTTTCAGATCTAAATTATCAATTTCTTCTTTGTAAAATTCTCAGAAACTCGTATTGTGTGGTTAACTAGATTTTTTTCTATAAATGACGTAAGTTCTTAACTATCCCTTTGTCGTTTATAAAAGTCTCAGGAAAATTACATAAAATTATCCTGAAAATAGTCCAATACAAGTTTTTTTTTCAACTCTAATAATAACCTAGTCGTCGAAAAAAAGTGATTTTTGGGTGTAAATAAATTTGAAGGGTTCTTGTTGAATAAATCCTGGAATGAGAGAGTGTTAACTTTCTAAACCAAATGAAAACTATGTCGACTCAATTTTTCTAGTTTGTTAGCAAAATATTACGCCTGTTGCCTCATGATGTTTGATAATGTCTACTGCAGTTGTAGACGAAACGTCGGACCACACCCAACAAACCCAGTGAATAGTTTTGGCACATTGTGTTGAATGTCTAGCTGAAGGGGATCTATGAGATAGACCTTTTTAAAAGTAGTCAGCTAGTTTGGAATTCAGTGTTTTCATTATGCTCGTCACACCACCAACTTATGAACAGTCAAGATGGTGAATATTTGGCTACCTCAAGTGCCCCACGGTAAATTCAAAGGTCATTCAGTTATTACCTGATTTTACAGTTTCATTTCTATAAATTTTGGCAGAAATCCCAGAAAAACTGATTAAATTAAAAGTGATTTTTTTCATTTAATGATCTGATAATGAATTTATAGCTATTTTTAAAAGAGACTGTTATTAGTTCTTCAATAGAGGCTATTTTTATTAGCAAAGGCTGTTATTATTAACAGAGGCTGTTATTATTAACAGAGGCTGTTATTATTAACATAGGCTGTTGTTATTATTAACATAGGCTGTTATTATTAACAGAGGCTGTTGTTATTATTATTAGTGGCTGTTTTTATTAACGGAGGATGTTATTAGCAGATGCTCTCATTATGAAAAGAGGCTGTTATTAGTTATTATTATCAACAGAGGCTGTTTTTAGTTGTAATTATGAACAGGCTGTTATTGTTATCACCAGAGATTGTTATTAGTTGATTACTAGGGGCTGCTATTAGTTTATAAACTGAGGCTGTTATTAGTTTAATTACTGAGACTGTTATTGATTTATCAACAGAGGCTGTTATTAGCGGTGGTGTCAACTTGGCCAGGAAAAATATACTTTATATTTACTGGGTACTGAAATTATGCATTTCAATTTTTCCTGAACACCATCACATTATAGTTAATAAGTCATTTATTCATCTGATTATCTAGTACAGATATTGCAGTAACTGATAATTTGGATTCATCATTGCAAATATATCTTTTTTGCGAACTGTGAAAAATATCCTAGTCCTTTGACAGCCCAATGTAAAATTATTGAATAATTGTTACGATACTAGATGAAATTATTTTAAAATCCTTATTCCAAAAACAATATTCAATGTTCTTCTATACACCTGCTATTCCCAGTTTGGTAGCCAAAACCATCTTGACCTGTCGCTAAATTTCTAATTGTGTGTTGTGTTTTTTCCAATAATCTCCAACTAATTCGTCGAACAGGATACGCAAAGCCTTAGAAAACAGGACGAACATGGAGGACGACAGGGTGTCTCTTCTGGAACAGCAGTTAGCTCAAGCCAAACTTATAGCGGAAGAAGCTGATAAAAAATACGAAGAGGTATAGAACAACCTCCTTTGCTTACTAATATTTGATGCCTGTCGAGAGTTTTAATATTTTCATTATTGTTCTCGACCTCATTTATTTTTGACGCTTTCGATGTTTCTCGAGTTATATTCTAGGAGCGGTGGACCAAGCGGCTTGAACATCCTGTATATTTTCTCTTTCAGGCGTTTTCAAATCAATAGTGAAAGTTCACGTCAGTAACGCCAATAAAAGATACAGATACGTTCATTTATGTTGGTTATTTGAAAGAAACTCGTGTGATTTCACATTGTGAATCATAGTTGTTTTTTCCAAATTTGGAAGTGTTCTCAATGAGAAGCAAAAGTTGCCCAAGGCATATGGTCCTAGAGAGTGTTAATTATCAGACTATAAGCATGAAGCTGATAAAAAATACGAAGAGGTATAGAACAACCTCCTTTGCTTACTAATATTTGATGCCTGTCGAGAGTTTTAATATTTTCATTATTGTTCTCGACCTCATTTATTTTTGACGCTTTCGATGTTTCTCGAGTTATATTCTAGGAGCGGTGGACCAAGCGGCTTGAACATCCTGTATATTTTCTCTTTCAGGCGTTTTCAAATCAATAGTGAAAGTTCACGTCAGTAACGCCAATAAAAGATACAGATACGTTCATTTATGTTGGTTATTTGAAAGAAACTCGTGTGATTTCACATTGTGAATCATAGTTGTTTTTCCCAAATTTGGAAGTGTTGTCAATGAGAAGCAAAAGTTGCCCAAGGCATATGGTCCTAGAGAGTGTTAATTATCAGACTATAAGCACTTTTTACGAATAGAATCTTCTACCGTACATAAGAACTATAAGAAAATAATTTTACATTACCCAAAAATGAAACATAAACTTAATTTGATGTCCAGCAATTTAGACTAGCATAAAGTTTGGTTTGACAAACCAGTTTCTCTTTGAAAGTGGGATCTGGTTCAAAATTTTTCAAATTATGTGCAAAGTTCTCTGTTGAAAGTTTCTTCAGTCAGCTGTGTCAAAGCTATTGATAGAACCCAGAGCTGCTTTCCCAGAGCAAAGGAAAGCAAGGGAATATTAACAGGAATAAAGCTTTGCTACCTGCCCTTTACACACTGATCAGGCAAGAGAAATATGTTTTGTGTTGATGATTATGAAAATTAATTTGAAATGAACTGAATCTCTCATTTGATCAATAATAATGAATAAAGTCCAATATATTTTATCAAGTTTAATAGATTTCCACAAGTTCTTTGATAACACTATCTGAAAAAATTCCCCCTGTGGTAGGATCAACTAACATAACTACTGACCTGTATCTTTTGTGGTGTTGCAAAATAAGATATTCGTCGAATTTATCGGAGGAAGATTATCAGAAATTAAAGTTCGAATGGAAATGATTTTATTCACTCCAGATATCAATTTATCTGTTTGTGGTGTTAATTCTAGAGGCAAAAATTGTTTCATCTTTATCATGTTCTCGCCTGTAGGCGATACTAATAATGAAAATATTTACTACAATGTGGTTATGTTAAAATAAAGCAAACATTGAAAATTATTGTTGCGAAATATTGAGAACAGTTAACCGATTCGAATGGTTCATTATCTCTCAAATCATTTCTATAATTATCCTCAATCTTGTTATTAATTGTGTTCTCGAATAATAATTTTGAAATATACCAGTGAGATTGTAATTTTTTTTTCAAACGAAATGTTTTTCCCCTTTGTTTTACTAATTGTTGGTGAGGCATTTCTTTTGGAGATAGTAATCCTGGTTGTGATTTCCCATTTGATGCAGAATTCAATCTTGATCAGTGATAACTGATGTTTTCAGTATTTTTAAATTATGACTGCCTGCTCCAGATTATTTTCTTGCACCCAGTCGCCATCTTGAAAGTTTCATCTGTCAATTTCACTTCAAAATAAAGTATTCATGCATCAATTCCATCATCCCAAATTTCAATTTTTTTAGATGACCCGTTAGTGTAGTAAGAAAGCAGCTAAACAAGAAATATAAAAATGTATTTTTTTGAATTATTACGCAGAATTTATAACTACCATAAAGAGAATTTCAAGAACTTCAAAACGAACCCCAATTATTTGCAAATACTCTGGAGGAAGCAGTCATAATTTAAAAATACAGAAAACATTTTTCATAAAAGTCTTTGTGAAAATATATAGCTAAATAAAGTTGTAGCCCGAAGAGGGAAAAGTTGTCCTCGAAACGTTGTTAATAAAATTGTAAACATCAACTATCTTTCATCTCCACTTGCCATGAAAATATAGATGTTGGAAAAACAGTTATTAATGTGTATATCTTTCTCCGGTATATTCGAAAGAATCCTAAACTGAGTTTTGACCCCATTTTTGTCCCCGTTTATTGTATTTTAAATATTTCCTTCCGACCCCAGGCAACGCAAAGTCTTAGAGAACCGTTCTCTGGCAGATGAGGAGCGTATGGACGCCCTCGAGAACCAGCTGAAGGAGGCCAGATTCCTTGCTGAAGAAGCCGACAAAAAATACGATGAGGTTCTTAAAAATATTTTCGACTTGAGTTCTGCTGATTTGTGCTCTACTAATTCGATATAAATCAATAATAACGTCAGCAAAGATTGTCGGGGTTTACTAACGATGCGCAGAGTTGTTTGCAATCACATGATGTGCGCAGAAGTGTTTTTGTAGTTGTTGTTTTGTTTTCGACGTCGTGGAACCTACCATCATCATGCGGCGCTCTTTTACGATTTCGGTCTGAAGGGGGATAGTGAAAAGTGCGGTGAAACGTCGTCTGGTTTGATAATGTGCCCTTCGTTTTTCCGGGGTTTTGTGATTTTTGTGATTTCAGAGTTGATTTCGAGCTTGAGACTGTAAATCCGTCCGATTTTTCGATTTGCAAGACGATCCGGCTTACAAAAAAAATACTGAAAGTTCTAAATCGGGTGATTTTTGCGGACGAGAAAATTTCTTTTAATTAAAAAACGATTCAGAAGTTCTGGGAATGTATTTCAAAATTAGTTTTTTGTTTACACAATCTGAAAGCAATATTTACAAACATATTAAATTTTTCTAGCTATAAAGAAATTGAATGGTAGCCATGAATTCATCTGTGAAAATCTTAAATTTCAAACGCCATCTAGTGATATATTGAACCATAATTTTTGTCAAAGGATAGGCATTTTTCGGATTCACCCGGTATAGAATATTTATCAACAGTGTTTCGTATCGACGATTGATGTTTTTAGCATATCTATTTATGAAAACAAGACACCAAATATTTGATTATTATGAATTTTTCAAAGTATTTATATTCGAATAAAATTATATTATTGAGTAAAATACTCTATTTACAGATATCATTCTATGTTGATTTGAGTTTGATGTTCAATAACACCATTTCGCTCGTTTTTTTGTTTGCTGTATTGATGGTCTCATGAACCACCGCAATGTTCAACATTAATCGAAATTTGAAAACTACAACAATCAAGGCAGAATAGTTGGTTTTCTTCTTGGTCTTCTTCTTCTTCTTGGTCTTCTTCTTCTTCTTGGTCTTCTTCTTCTTCTTGGTCTTCTTCTTCTTCTTGGTCTTCTTCTTCTTCTTGGTCTTCTTCTTCTTGATCTTCTTCTTCTTGATGTTCATCCTGGGTGTAGGTAAACTGCGTCAAGAGTGATGTATCGTATGTTTCTTCGTTGGTATCAAATGAATCCTCCACTATTGGTGATTCAGCATTAGAACATGACTGGCCTTGACAATGTGTACATGCCAGAGAACACAACAGTCCAACTTCTTCACAACCACATTTAGCGCTGCACCCTTTTTACAGTTGCAAAAATTGTGTTCAGCAGTTTTTCCGGCGCAGGTGGGAGTAAACTGTAAATAGGTTCTAATGCATTGTCGACCAACTTCTAAGCCCAGTCTTTTGGGTCTAGCTGATAACCAAGCCACACTTGAACTTGGTAATATACCCGGAAAAGATGTTGATGAGCAGCAACTGAGGTTGGAGGAAGACAAGCTAATTGCACCTGTTTCTTATTTTTAGTGTTTTTTGCGAAACGTGCATATCGATACTTATCTAAGCAGGTGGTTTTTTTCGGAGCTTTATACATAGAAAGAAGAAACTGAATCCCGTTGGTGATAATTTCTTGTTCAGTCGAATTGCTTTTTTTGAAAACTTCAACACATTTAACTAAATCTTGTTTTTCAAACATTTTTAAAGACTGTTGCTTTACCCCTCCTGTAAAATGCAGACGTTGCATCACAGCCAGTTATTGCGTGTAAAAATAGTACATGATTTTGACTGTTTGCAAAAGTAGATGAACTTTTTGACGAATATATTTCGGTTTTACTTTGAGCTTTTCCTGGCTTTAGAAAGAAAATAGTTTTTTCAGGTGGAGTTCGAGCAGTAAGAAGTACGAGTAAGCCTACATCTTCACCAACAACAATAGTTGTATTTGTCAAATTAAATTGCTCTATAGCTGTTTCAATAATCAGTATGTCGGCATCGTTAGGCACCTCAGAGATGTATATACGTGGCATACTTATGCATATAATGACGATTACAACTGTTTGACTAGTCGTATCTCAGAAACGGTAGCCCTAAGAAAAAAAAGTATTGACACATTTTTTGTAGAGAATTTTATGACCTACAATTTTTATCCGAGGTTATTTTATGATAAAACTTACCGTGTTCCTGAAAATCGCGAAAAAACAATTTTTTCAAGATTTTTGACCTTTGACCTCGAATAAATTTTTTTCCAGGCATCGCAATCATTCGGAATTTTAAAATCTTATTTTTAACTATGTTTTGAATAATTACACGCGTTTGCAGCTTGTTGTAAATTTATGTACCTTCACTCTTATTTTTTAGTCTAATTTGACCGGATAATTTTCAAAAGTTTTTATTGAACTGCATTAATTTTGAATTCAAAAGAAAAACAAATGTGCGCCACAATCATTTTGCACTTTCAAGTAATCAATTTTTAAATAATGTATTCGTTATATACCTAGTTGAAATCCCT